GACTGGCATGAATGCATGTAGACACACCACACTCATACACATATTCGTGTATGTTTCTCTCTCTCTCTCTCTCTCTCTCTCGTCTCTCCATCCCTTCCTCCCTCCCTCCTCCCCACTTTCATCTGCAGATTTCTGTCTACCTTTGGAAGTGACTCCTTCCTCCTATCATCCCATGGGTGATGTCATGGTGAGGTCCTGCAGCAAAGTGTGGAGAGCAAGCTTTCATTATGAAGGGAAGCTGGCTTGTGAGGAGGCAGGGCATTTGTCTCCAGCAGTGAGACATAGTGGGAAGCCTGCTTCCACTTCCTAGAAAAGTAAGGTTGGCCTTAGATGGCCCCAAGTATCCTTCCAGCTAAAAATGTCCCGCCTTCAAGCTTTGAGTCAAAGGGGTTCACCATGTTGCCTATGACAGGGGTGACCCAGGCCCTCAGGAGCATGTTGGAAGCACTGTTCTCTCAGCATGCCTTCCTAGACTCTGTCTGCTAGAAGTCCTTTTAAATTGCAAGGTTGGACCACTTTTGTTACCACTTCAGCATGTAAAACCCCTTTCTTTCTAGTCCTCAGAGAGAGGGGCAGCAGGGGTTTGATTTGACTTCCTGCAGGGCATAGAGTTGAGGGCTACCAATTTTCAGGTTCAAGAGTTGTTACTCCAGCTTCCTGTTACCCACCATTAGGTTTGATTGATAGTATTAAACAGAAGGAAAACGGTATTTTACTGGAGTGGAGAAATGCATTCGATTAAATAATAAGTATATAAAATGCCCAGTTAGAGCTTTTGCGAAGGGAGAGATGTAATTTTGTGGTTGTGCATGTTCAGGACTCTCTTCCACATGAGGTTTCATTGGGAGAAATAGAATGCATTGGATCAGCAGAACGAAGCAAAGACGATGGACCTAGGAGGGCATGGTCTTATTCAGAAACATCTTTAGAGTTGGGAGGATGTGCTGTTCGATACTTTGGGGAAAATCAGAGAGCAGAGAAGGATGAGGTCTGAGAAAGGCTGTACAGAGACCAGCATCCACAGATACCCAGCAAGGGCCACTGCGGTAATGCAGATCCAGGGTTCCCTGGGGTAGACACAGATCTTCTCTGAACACTGGCTGCTTGTCATGTTCCCTGCTGTGTGGCACATCTGGAACTTCTGGGCCAAGTGTTTATGAACCCAGAAGATCTGATTGGCTCCTGCATCTGAGCATCATTACATAGGGACTACCCGACCTCAGACATAGGCACACACTGGCCTATGTGGACCACAGTGGGTTTTGCTGGTCTCTGATCATGGTACTACCTATAAAGACCCCTTTGCCTCTGACCCTGCCTTAGGAGTCAACTTCCCTATGGTCAGAAAATGATCTTTGCCGCTTCCATAATACAATTTTCCAACCAGTAACGTGGTACATGGAGGGGCCAGCTATGTCTTTCTGAGTCATGAAATTATCCAGACGGTGAGTCACAGCACCATCAAAATGAAATCATGTTCATTTGCATGTGGTGAGTCATGCTGAAAAAACTAGGTTTCAGGAAATTGGAGTTGTCTGGGAGAATCTGGTAACTGTGCCTTGCAGTCGAAGAGATTAACCCATGTCAGGAGTGAGCCAGGGACTTGGGAGCTGTCTAACTCAGGTAAATTGAGAAATAAGATGTGAAATCTCATGACAACTAAGATGAGTAGGGTTGTTGACTTCAAGGAATGGTTTATGAACACTAAACTCCACTTCCCCTGCTTCATAAAAGCAATATTTCAAGTTATTGAACTGAAAATTAATTTGATACTAATTTGTTCTCAGCTCATGGCTTAATGAGCTTGTATTCCGGTATATTTAATTAGAAAGTATACTTGATAAATAATCCATTAACAACAGAGCCCGAGAACAAATGAGTTCCAAATTTCAGGAGTCGGTAATTATTGCCACCGCCTTGCTTTCCATCTCCTCTCCCCAAATAAGGGAAACTCTATGATGGATCTCAAAGGTCAGTGATCCTGGTCACCCAGGCATCCTAGACTCCAACAGCAGCCACTGTCCTTTCCTATTGAGAGTCACCTTCTTCTTTGACATGCCTGCAGGTCATAGAATCCCCCACCCCACCCTGTATACAATCAGATCCCCTGATGCCCTGAGATATTTCAATCCAGTTACATGCATTCCCCATGGTGAGAAACTTTTATATGATTTCCCCTGAGAGAGAGAGAGAGAGACAGACAGACAGACAGACAGACAGACAGACAGAGACAGAGACAGAGACAGACAGAGAGAGACAGAGAGCATCAGAGCCATTCAAAATCTACACAGATGACAAGGAGGCACACTTGAAGCTATGTCTTTTCTCCTTGATATTCTAATAGATATCCTATGTCACTGGCTGGGCAGCCCCAGTCCCATTCAGTCCCCTCACATGTCTTGGACTAACCCACTGCCTATTGAAGAGGACAGCCTCATGGATGAGAGACAGATCACCAGGCACTCCACACACCTGTGTCTGAATCTCCTACCCTCCTCCCTGCACTGCGTGCTCCCTCTATTACCCGATGCCTTTGCAGGTTTCCATCTGCAGGTAATTCCTTCTCCAGTCCTGGCCTCTGGACACCAGCTGTCCATACTGCAATGTGTGCAGTGAAATACTCTTAGGCAAGAAAACACAGAGTTCATGATGGGACCTGGAAAACATTATGCTGGATGAAAGCAGCCAGGCATGAGGCCATGTATTGCAGGCTTCTATTTGCATGAAATGAACAGAGCAAGCAAATCCATAGAGACAGAGAGGAGACTTGTGGTTGTCAGGGGTGCTGAGGAGGGACTGTTGGGCTCCAGGTGTCTCTGTGGGGTCATTAAAATGCTCTGGAATTAGATAGTGGTCATCACTGTGCATCCTTGTGGATTTCAGTGATGGAGGACTTCAGGTACTCCCTGTACTCTAAACAGAACACCATAAAAATGCTGACACGGTGTGCTTTAAAATAGTGAGATGTGTGGTATGGGAATTAAGTCTTCATTTTAAAAGAGAATTAGCTCTGCGGGATATCCAATTGTCATGCAAAACAATTGTGATTAAAAGAGTGATGTTGGCGTAGGAGTGAACAGTCGAGTATTCCTCGGTGGACTGTAAAACCGAGAAGAGCCATGGACATACCCTGAGTATTTCCCTATGCTCTGGTTCAGATGGCTCATGTGCTTGAACTCTCAGTCCCCAACTGATGGCACTGTCTGGGGAGGTTGCAGAACCTTTAGACATGAGGCCTAGATGGAAGAGTTGGGTCTCTGGGGTTGGGCCCCTCTTGGCTTGCTTGCTGTCACACGTGAACAAACATCCTCCCACTGCCAAGAACTCCACATGCCTTCTTTGCCATAAAAGACTATAAGCCAAAGGAGATTCTTGCTCCTTGAAGTCATTTCTATCAGGTCACAGAAACAGGTCACAGACACAGCGCGTGACAGCGTGTCGGTGAGAAACCTGATGAGGTGTGGTGAATAAATAACTCCTGCCCTTGGTACAGGGGAAGTTGTACATGCCCTGTACTTCCAGGATGGAAATAAATCCTGGGTAGAGTAAAGAGCGCATCTCAAGACCATGTAAACAGGAGAAAATGAAAGACATAAACCCAGAATCTCAAAGAAATACAGAAAACTGTGGGGGCCGGGTGCATGGAAGACACTTGGATTTATAAAGCCAGAAACACTGGACAATGATGTTCAGGTTAAAAGACTTTTCTTACACAATTATGGGGTTAAATATTAATATCCTGAATATATATACATATTTATGAGACTCTAAAATCAGTAAGAAAGGTTCAAACGGAACTACCTGTCTCCCTGTAGCCTCCCCATCTCCCTCCATCCTTTGCCTTTCGACGACCCAAGAAATTTATCCTCTTACATTATTGAAATGATCTTAGTCGATTTATCATGATGCTGTGGCTTTGTCACTCAAACTCATCTGGTCTTTTTTGTTTGTCTTTTCATGTTTTAATTGTGTGTGTGTGTGTGTGAGTTTATGTGTACCATATGCATTCAGGGACCTATGGGGGCTGGAAAAGGACATCAGATTAGATCCCCAGAACTGAATTGCAGATGGTTGTGAGGAACCAAGCCAGTGCTGGGAACCAAACCTGGGGCCTTGGCAAGAACAGCAAATGCTCTTAGCCACTGAGCCATCATCTTTCTGACCCTGGTCCTTTTCCTTAGCAAAACAGATAGTCTTTTTGAATGACTGTCACCACCAGGTACCTATGAGCTGACATGGGTAGGGTACAGGCAGGATGAAACCTGACTATCACTTAGAAGAGATGGTTGCTTTCCTGCAAAGAGCCAGCGGCTGGTATTATGGATATCTGGGAGAGTAGTGCTCAGTGTGAGCACCCATTCCTGGCCAATCAGCTGCTGAATTAGAGCTCTGACCCAGTCTTCTTTTCAACAGCTCTGTCTTCCCAGGAGGCATCTGTGCTGTGGTCACTTTGGGGATTTTTTTTTCTTCTGAGACCTCCCTCAGTGACCTTCCTACTGAGCTGAATGTGGGTGATTCTGAGAATTCTCTTCATTCACACCCCCCCCAGCTCCCATCTGCTTGTCTGTTTTCCTAAGCCATTGATTCAGGCCTGGTTTTATTGCATTTCACAGTGTGCTTAAATACCCTATCCATTCCCTCATCTCATTACCAGAAACAATTTACATGAGGGTAAACCAAGGATGTCAGTGTCATTTGTTCTGCTGCTGCATCTTGTACAATCATGGGCATCAGGGCTTTCCTGGGGGAGGGGGGGTGGTAGATGAGAATGGAGGCCAGTCAGACATGTCACAACCCTACTGATAATCTCTAAGTAGGTCTGACACTTTAACCATAGACCCTGGCAAGTCACATTGGGCTTAGCAATAAACACTAAGACCACCTGTATAATATGCTATAACATGTCCTATAGCTAAAGCCAGGAGAGCGGACTCGAGGAATCTGGATTATTCTAAGTGGGCAGAAGGTGTGTTGACTGATTTCCCCTCTCTCTCTTTCAGGACCACTGTTACTACCACGGACATGTGCAAGGAGATGCTGCTTCCGTGGTCAGCGTCAGCACTTGCTCTGGTCTCAGGTAAATGGACATGACCACAGAAGTTCTGATTTAACCAACCCTAGACTACCCCATCTCTCTGCACTCGCTCAAAGGCCCTGAGGCAGACACAGTAGCCTCATGGCACAGGTGGGCGAGCTGGGCGAGAAGGAGGAGGCCTGTGTAGTTACTCGCAACAGCACAGCTGACCTGGGATCTTAGTGTCTCCTTCATCTCCCCCCACCTTCCCCCCTCACCTTTAAATTCTGTTCTCAGGGTGGCGTTTTGGGGATGGGGGTCTGAGAACCACAGAACTAGCTGGGTTTAGGAACTCAGGCATGGCCTGGGGCTGGGCTATGTCTCAGTGGTAAGATGCCTAGCTATACAAAACCACAGATCCAGTCTCCAAGACTGCCAGAAAATGAAAGAACACAGGCATTGCATGAATGATCTTTTGTGTTCATGGCCCTGATGCTTAAAACTTCCAGGTGCTAAAAGGTGGGAAATTGTTTATTAACACCATAGCTGCTGGCTTAATCAAAAAAGATTTAAGGCCCCCTTCTCCCTGGGAAAGAATAGAAATAATTTAACAATGACCAAGCCGAGTTGACTTCAGGCCTGCCTGGGCAGGGTTTCACTGATGATCTATGAATAAGAGTAGGAAATGCTGACCTTTTGTCACCCCCTACTCTCAGCCCTGTCCTTCCAAGTCCAAGCCAGTGACACCAGAGGACTCTTACTTGCTCCTGGAGAAGCTACTTGTCTACATCTGTGTATTGAGTTATGAACTATCAGCTTGTATCCTCAAAGTCCTAAGTGGGCTGGGTGAGGGCACTAGAGTGGGCCTCCAGGGGAGGCAGGAGAGAGAAGGACCTAGAAAATGTTCCGGCTTAAAGTGACAGGGTGGGACTGCTTTGTGTGTCCGAAGTAGCTGCCACCTCTGTAAGTTCTGTGAAAGTTTGGGGAGAATGAGACACCAGCACACCACAGCATGCAGACACAGAACAATCCAACACGACTTCACACACACAAATGACATGATACATACAATACACACGCAGTCAACAGCCTACCGCATACACACATATACACACCACAAGTGGTGTAATAAACACACAGAGGCAATAAACAGAAACCAGCCTCATTGGAGAGACAGACAGACAGACAGACAGACAGACAGACAGACAGAGAGAGAGAGAGAGAGAGAGAGAGAGAGAGAGAGAGAACACCCACTCTCTTTCTGCAGTCTTACGTCATGCAGTGCCCTGTTTGGTTCATGTAGAGTTCGTCTGTTCCTTTGCCTGCTACATAGAGTTCTGTTATACATGCATATCTTGTTTCAGGCAACACCGTTCTCAGCACCAACTGGTTGTCATGTGAGGGCTAAAGAGGGTATGGAGTATGGCATCGGGGTTACGAACTCTTTTCCTGGGACTAGTCACACACCTGACCCTTCATTTTTTTTCAAAGAGCTTCCTTGATTGTCATGGTGATCCACAGAGAATGGGGGCTCATTTCTTCACAGCCTCCCCAATGTTTAGCACATCTCATTTTTTCTGAGTGTTTGGCACTGGACTCTAGGGCTGTGTCCACAGCTGTGCCCCTCCTTTACCCCTGCTCAGACCTGTGAACATGTGGTCAGGATGTCACCCCTGTTTTTGTCATCTAATCCTGTCTGTTTCTGGAATCATTGTATCTAGAGCACACACACACACATGCACACACGCGCACACACACACACACACAACTCAGATGCTGTGCCTATGTGTGTGAATGCACATGTGTGTGTGGGTGCACACGCACTGCATGTGTGCATTGTTTTACACGTCTTTGACAAGGCGTTGATGGAACACCGTTGTGCTTCAGTGCATTTGTTGGTCTGAGAAAGGAAGGCAGTGTCTTATTTGCATTCAGTTCTCTGGCTATTCCCTTATTCATGGGACTCTCCCCTGTCCCCGGCGCTAGTCTAAGTCTTAGGGATATAGCAGTCAATAAAGTATGTTCCTCGGAGAGCACCACCTAGGAAGGAACAAGGGACAGAGAGTGAATGACAGGAGTGGAGAAGGACGAAGCTGAGCGAAGGACAGAAGGGGGAGAAGTCGCCCAGGATGTGAGATGAAGGTGAGGCACAGGCTTTGGGGGGAAGCAGGGAATAGCAAGCACACTCTCTGGCCAGAGCCACAGGCTTTGGGGGGAAGCAGGGAGTAGCAAGCACTCTCTGGCCAGAGCAGCAGTGCAGCCAGTATGGCTGGGGAAGGAAGAAAGGGGCAGCAAAGGAAGATGACATCAGAGGGGACAGTAGAAAGAACATGGTGATGAGGTCTGATCCAAGAGAGAGACAGGGGCCAGGGTTCATAAAAATCAGGATCATAGGAGAGACGCGGGTGGGCCGAGCTCAGTAGCAAACTGAGGGTTCATGTTGTCTACTCAAAGACCTTAGTTTGGATATGACACATCTCCCAAAGGCTCGTATGTTGGCACATTTGGTCCCCAGCTGTTGGTGCTCATTTGGGAGGTTGCGGGGCCATTTGGGAGGTTGTGGGGCCATTGAAGGTGCAGCCCAGCTGTAAGAAGTGAGTCACTGATGGGGGAGAGGCTTGATTTTATAAGCTTCCCTGCTTCCAGCTGACCTCCCATTCTGCTCCGTGACTCGCCCAGATCTAAGCCACTCCCACCACCTGCCATGAGATTGTACCCTAAACCATGAGCCAGAATACACACTTCCTGTTGCAGGGTGCTTCTTGTGGGGTATCTGATCACAGCAACCAGAAAAGTAGTATACGGGGTATATAGACTGAGACCAACTGCTGAAGCACAGTAATCGGGCAGCAAGCCAACTGTGGGACAGTGCATGTCTCATCCACTCTGAGCTCCATTCTCCTGAGTTTCCCTGTGGTGAGAGCCTCTGGCCCTGGCCCTGGCCCTGCCTCCCAAGTGCTGGGGTTAAAAGAGTGTGACAGCACCACCTGATTTCTTTGACAAGATCTCACACAGCCCAGGCTGGCCTAGAACTTGCTATGTAGCCAAAGTTTGCTTGAACTTGTGATCTTCCTACCATAGCCTCTTCAGTGCTAGGATTACAAGCACATGCTGCACCTGGCTTCTGTTGTCTATCTTCAGGCCTTGTGAGTCCCATGAGCCTTCTCTTTTCTCCATGAGGGAGGACTGATGGCAGTCAGCATATGCAACCCAGAGGAAACATCTGTACAGGATATCCTAAGGAGGCAAGCCACCCCAGGTGCCCCTTGCCACTCAGTCACCATATACTCCATTCTTCCTGAGCTGCCCATTAACTGTCTATTCCCACACTCCTACAAAAACACAGGTGATCCCCATAGAGCAAAATCACCCAGACACAGCAGTGTCTGCATCAGCACCCACCTCCCATGCCCAGCTCCTGGAAAACATTCCTTTCCCTAGCCACAGACTCCGGAACTGGCTGCTACAGAATGTTGTGCTGTCACCAACTGTGCTCCTAAGCCCCACCCCACACCCAGATCTTTTTGCCACTCCAACACAGGTCACTCATTAACGGAGAAATCACAGACCCATGCTGTCAACTTTATCAAGCCAAGAAGCAGACCATTGTAGCCAATCTACAGCTGTCTGACAGAAGAATCAATCAGGGCTGGAAATAAAGAAAAACTGTATTTATCCAGAGTCACACCAGTGTGATAGACATTAAGAAAGAAAATAGAGATAAATTTTCTGCTAGGTATGTTGTATTTTGGAAACATAGAGACCCAAGGGCATGGAAGTGCCTAGGGGTGTGTCATCAGTTCATGGAGAGAAGCGCTGTGAAAGTGTGTCTCACAGTCTGTCCATAATGACAGGGCACAGTGCACCCTTACACCCAACTCTGGTCAATCCATAGATTCATAGTTGGTTGTTCCTTTATACAATTTAGACCTATAATCGTGTGTGTGTGTGTGTGTGTGTGTGTGTGTGTGTGTGTGTGTGTGTTGTGCACTGTGCACTCATGCACACCCATGAGCTGTGGTGTATACATGGGTGTGGGAGGACATATAAATGTCAGAGGTAGACACTGGGTGTCTTCCATTGCTCTCTACCATATTTTTTGAAGCAAGGTCTCTCACTGAACCTGGAACTCTCCAGTTCAGCTAGACTAGCTGATCAATGAGGCCTCAGGATCTGTCTGTCTCCACCTCCCCAGTGCTGGGATATAGATGTGCACTGCCACACCCAGCTTCTCCTCCATGCTGAACATTGGGACTCGGGTCTTCATATTTGCAGGACTCCCCAGCCCTGGACCAGCATTCTTTTTTTAAGCTCCCTGTCCTCTCCCATGCACATGTCTTGCTGACATCATCTCTGCTTCCTCCTCCCTGGGCTTAGTTGGCCTTTACAAAGGTCACTGTCCCATCCAATGTCAAATCAAAGGGATACCTCTCCATCCAGTCTAGCTCTACCTAGAACCATGAGAAGAGCGTAGCTTACTTATCTCATTTCCTGCAGCACCGTTGGACCTCTGTAAATACCTGTCCACACCCTGTGTGTCTATTCTTTTCTCTGGCTCTTCCTGCCCTGAGGTAAAAGCCTTCAGTGTGGGCAACATTTATGACACATCCTATGTGCACCTTGGCCACAGTCTGGAGCTTTTAGCAGAAGGCTTCAAATGTGAGAGGCAGCACAAGATGATTTGTGAAATTCAGCTAAGCAAAGTGTCAAGGGCTGGAGGGGATCTCCATGCTAGATCTCTTGCCTAGCTTCCATGAGGTCCTGGGTGTAATTCCCAACACCACAGAAAAAAAAACTAATGAAATTAAAAATATCAGGATAGGAGGTTTATTTGTACCTATTGAATAAGCATATGCATTATTCTTCTCCTGAAAGTTTTGTCTTGATTTTATTTCTATAATATAACATATATAACACCACATTTTATATATTAAATGCACAAGAGATTTCTTTCCCATGAAAAATAGTTTTCAATGTGTTTTCCACAAAAAAAAGAGATAATCAGTGTTGTTCCTGGAATGTAGGGTGACAACTGTCATAGTCACTTTTCTCACTGCTGTGAC